GATTGACCCATCTTGAGAATACTGCATGGATCTACAGTAATGTGTTTATCAGTATTCTCAAATCGACCTTGCTATAACTATCCTCAGACTTGAAGTTATTACATTCTCTGATATGTGGGGCCGTATGCTTTGATTCATAACTAATGCTATCTGAAATATTGGTAGACGTACAGTTATGCGTTGGGTATGCCGCTAAGCATATTTAGAGATGTGAATAACAGATACAGGATCTGTCCCTTCTACTGTATAGAAGTATAATGTCAATGGGCCCACTGAATAGTAGGACTTGGGAAAGTGCATGGCCATGCCCAGATATGTCACTATTTAGAGACTGATAAATATCTGATCCCTGCCAGTCTACTTGAGATTCAGTAACAGCAGATTTAACTATACAAGGATACACATCCCATGCCTTGTGTTAAATCATGACATTTAGGACAGAAGGATAATAGTTATAGAACGTCTTGTGTCGTAGAAGGTATTGATGAGATGAACATATTTTTCATAATCTGGGGATAATAATGTGTTGCTAGATACCGCTTATTATCTATGGTATTAATTTATATTAATATCATTGCCATGTTATGGATACCTAAAGGGTCACACACTTAGGACTTGTAAGGGAGTAGTATACTACACTAGTGGGAGTAATATTAAATATATAGTTGTAATAAATTTATACATATATATGTATTTCGAAAATACATATGTATTTTAAAATTATATTTTGTTTGTGTCATTTTAATTATATGATAATTCTATTTTGACAAAACAAATTTTATTATATATATATATGTAGCGCCGATATATATATATATATATATATATATATATATGTATGTATGTATGTATGTATGTATGTATGTATGTATGTATGTATGTATATATTACTTTTATTTTCATCATTTTAATTATATGATAATTATTGATGTAAAAATAAAATGTAATGTATTTTAACATGCTATGGCCGAAAATATCAAAGGGAAAAATACAAGACATAAATTGATTTTCTACCTAATGATATATTTGATTGATATAATCAAATATTTGCTTAACAAAAGGATATTTGTCTTGTTGTGTTGGTTGGGGATATTACATTAATCCTAATTTGTTTTGTCCCTAAGCTATTTCCTAGAAATTCATTTAAGTTGTTTATTATAAAATGAGACAAATCCCTCCCCTTTTAGCTTAATATAGTTTCGGCCATCACAAGGAAGAGAAAAAAAAATCCTATTTTGTGTTCAAAGTTATTTTTCTAAAGTGTTAGAAATATACACAAAATATTATAAAGAAATATTTATAAGATAAATATTTTACTATATATTTATTACTCCCAAAGTAGTATTATTATAGTTTACTATCCTAAATTAAACTTGCTAGCACAAGTTTAATCTAGGACTCCGGAGCAAGTTCGTGTGGATACGTTGGAGGCTTCATACGTTTGGCGCTACGTTCATCTCCTCAAAACCATCTCCGACCGTTCCTCCGTTCTCCGTTTTCACCGTTAAGGTAAATTTCTTACTATAGCTAGTAATTTACGTAAGTTGTTCTTGGGTGGAATCGAGTTTTGGACTATAAATTTTTGTTTTCCGCTGCGTTATCCAAGCCTTGTTTCCCAACACAACCACCCTTCGAAACTCATTAATTATAATACATCAACACATTTATGGACACAAACTTAATCAAATCCAAGAATGAAACAAGAGAAAGTTAGAAATCATAAAAGCTCAAAATAAGTGTTGAAACTCACACTCATGGAAACAAAAACAAAGATCTGGGAAAGAAAAACAAAGTTAGAAATCCACCGTTATTGACGTCACCGACGACTTTGTCGCTGTCGATGTTCGTGGTCTTCTTTGATATCGCTGGTGATCCTGCTCGCCGCACCTCGGATAAAAAAAAGAGCAAGAGATACGAAACTTGAATGGATTAAGATGCGGTGATACGAAACTTTCAAAGAGGAAAAACAAAATTAGGAAGCGGAAGAATGAAATTGGGAAGAGGGAAAATGAAATTGGGAAGAGGGAGAATAAAATTGGGAAGAGGGAAAATGAATTTGGTGATAATTGGGAAGAGGGAGAATGAAATTGGGAAGAGTAAAAAGTTCCCATTTTTCTATGTCCTTCCAGTTCCTTCCAACAATGATTTAATGTAATTTGATGTTATCTTATTTGATCTGATCTTGTCTGATCTAATATGTTCAGATCTAGTCTGATATGATCTGATCTGAATAAAATTATATGTAGTTTTTAAATATAATTTTTTTATGTGTTATTTTTTTACCAATTTAGAAGAATTGGACCTGTGCAAGTAATCAGTTCAGTTATCAATACCGGTAAGATCTTATACGGTCAAAATTATGAGTATCATAAGGAATTGGATCAGTGTGAGTAACAAGTTCAGTTATCAGTACTTCTAAGATCTTATTAGCTCAAAAATATGAGTATTTGGAAGAATTGGATCTGCGCAATTACCTTTTTCTGTCTTTGCTTTATTCTGTAACGCCTTGGAAACCGGTCTAGAAGTAAACTGATAATTAAATATATAAAAATTATTTTTTTTTGAAAATCTATTCTTTTAAAGAATTAAAAGATACTTTAGAGGTTCTAATTGTCTCAATACAAGGAAACTAATCTAATTATGTTTGTAACGCCCTGTAACCCGGTCTAATAGAATTGATTAATTTAATTAATTAATTACCGTTCCGGACCGGAGTTTGGGAAAATGAAAAGTTCTTAGAAAAATTATTTGATCATATCATTAAATTCATCTTGACTGTCTGATTCCAGAAACACAAACGGAACTCAATTCGGACCCGTTCGGGGGAAAAAGCGCGTACTGTTCAGGTCAGATTTTTACATAACAGAGTGAAAATATATTTGTAACTCCCCATGCATTTGGTTCGGCCCTCTCAACCCCCCATCTTTCCCATTTAATTGTCTTTTTAATCACCATAAAACACCATCACTCTCCACCCTTAAAACTCCTATTGTTGTAACCCCCATTTTGTGAATTCAATCATCAACTCCATCATCACCATTCATCTTCTCTCCCTCTCTCATTTTCGGCCAAGGCAAGCAGCAGCTCAGGAATCTCCGGTGAAGCTCCGGTGGATGCAAGGTTGAAGGAGAAGAAGAGCTAGGCCGTCGTGCGAAGCGTGGTCGTCGTTTGTCCGTTTGTTAGCACCGTTCGTTCATCTCGTTCCGTCAACCCCTTCATTTAGAGGTGAGTAGTTGTCCCTCTAATTCTAGAACATTTAGTTATAATCTATGTCGTTATATTCGTAGGAATATCGTACGCAACCTACGTAGAATCTATGCATGTTCGTAGGTTAACCATCCAACATACGTGTGTCCATGTTATCAAGTTAAGTGCTCGTTAATATAAATGTTTTGAAACCTTGTAAGTCTATCGATTATCTAGCATGGAAATATAAACATTCGTTTCTAAACCTTCCAACGTTTGGATAACAAACAAACAGGTATAATGGAAGTCAGTGTGTTTTGATAATCGAGCTACAGAATAGTACAATCGACTGTCAGGCCACGCTGGACTCCTTAGTTGAATCAGCACAGCGTGATAATCGATTATCACATATGCGATAATCGACTAGCAGGCCCTGCGGATTCCCGGGTCTGAGTTGGCTTCACTGATAATCGATTATCACACAGGCAATAATCGATTATCAGGTCTCTCTGAACTTAGGACTTTCCAGATAAACCAACGTGACAATCGATTGTCATAGGGGGACAATCGATTATCACAGTCTGCAGGACTTTGGGGACAGAAGTTGCACAGCATGATAATCGATTATCAACAACAGAAAATCGAATATCAGCCAGTTCTGAACCCAGGGCCATCATGTTGAACAAATCGTAATCAAACACATATGTATGAATTGAATTTAACTCTCTTCTTAAATCAATGCATTCATTCCATCATGTTCGTTCTAGACGAACGTTCTAGGTTTCCATCATGTGCATACCGCTATAGGGAGGACTTCATGCGCCTACTACAGTGGGCCCATCCAAGAACCTTTGGGGACCAACGGGTTTTCATCATGTTAGGCTTGTGTACGTACATAGTAGTCAGGTTACGGCTACTACCCGGTTTCGCTAGTCCACTCTTAATTACTTTCAATAACTTCGTTAATCAATTGGGCACGAACCCACCCTTGTCGTTATTTAATTTGGACTGAACTTATTTAATTACTTCTGCAATTACTTTGCACTTTTATTACACACGTTTTGGGAGTAACTCCCTGGCTTTTTATTCCTCTAATTAAAACCCAACCGTTTTCTTATTAAATAATCATTAATGTTTTCGTAACGGATGGTTCTCGTACTATCCATGTAACCCTATTGGTCCGTCGGGTCGCGGGTGAACCGGGTCCAAGGAAGGCGGGTTTTACAATTTGGTATCAGAGCCAGTTGGTTTTTGAAAAAAAAACACATATCTTGTCTTCTTGTTCAAAAGGTTTTTTTCAAGAAGTCCACAGCCGCATCTCCCATTGCATCACTCCCAGGGAAAGGTACACCATTATTTAGATCACATGTATGTCATATTATAATTAGTTCTGATTTAAGTTATTCCTTTAGAGAATGAGTCAAGCAGCTGGCAATGACGGACAGGCGGTCCCAGAGGGGGAGCCTGAGCACGTGAGCGTGCACACTGAAGCGTCGAGCTTCACACCTCAGCAGGCCTCCGAGCAGGCGGTCCCGGGCGTGGGCCCTATACCGGAAGCCATCCCTATCGTCCAACCGCAGTTCGTGGCTAACTTCATGAATTTCCTCTAGCAGATGGCTGGAGCTTACGTGCCACCACCGCCGCCACCAGTGGCAGTGGTCACCATCGAGAAGCTCTGGAAGAATGGAGCTGAGGAATTCTTGGGCGATCAAATCGCCGACCCCATGATTGCCAAACGGTGGTTTGAGCAAACAATCCGAGTGTTGGGGAACCTGAGGGTTCCACAGGAGCAGTATGGCGACCTTGCAGTCGCATTACTTCAGGATTCCGCCTACGACTGGTGGAAACGTGTGGGCGCAGACGTCCCGGAGCCCGTGCAGTGGGCCACATTTGACCGACTCTTCCACGAAGAGTACATCCCTGAGCACTTCGTCGAGGCGAAGCGGGAAGAGTTTTTGAAGTTCACCCAGGGTGAATTCACACTGCCTGAGTATCGTCAGATGTTTGACGAGCTCGCGGGGTTTGGGCAAGACCTCGTACCGACCGTGGAGAAGCGATGCAAATGCTTCGTGGAGGGTTTACGTCCCGACCTTTTGACCCATCTGATCATTGCTCCCCGGAGTGACATCAACGCGTTGTACAAGAATGCGTTGGATTTGAATGCGGCCCTCATCAAGAAGGCTGAGTATGAGCAGACGCTACGAGCGTCAACGGCACCATCTCGTCCTCCTCCACCCCAGAAGGCGGGGACCAGCAGCAAGAGGTCCTTTACAGCGCCGAGCAGCTCTCACTAGAGCAAGAAGGTGAAGTCAGCCCCAGCTCAATCATCTGCGTCCGTACAGAAGAAGGGCAAGAGCGGGGATGGGTTTCACAACCCGATTTGCAACCTTTGTGGGCGCAGGCACCCAGGAGAGTGTTGGTACACTCTTGGCCTGTGCCTTGGGTGTTGCCAGGCCGGGCATTTCCGAAAAGATTGTCCGAAGAATCCGGGTGAGGCATTCTCGACCGCACCAGCCGCTCCAGCCCCAGCAGCGCAGCCCGCCCAGAGTCAGATGTCGACGGCAGCATCTAGCCAGCCCAAGCGGCAGGCATTTGGCGCTCAGGCGGGGAAGGCCCCGGCCCGTACTTACACGATGCGAGGGCGTACTGAGTAGCCAGCCCATGACGTCATCATGGGTATGTTTACCTTGTTCGATACATCTATTACAACTTTGATTGATCCGGGTTCCACTCTATCATATGTTTGTATGCCTTTGCATATTATGCCTAACATTCCGAGGGAAGACCTAGACAACCCGGTAATTGTGTCTAACCCATTGGGACACAGTCTACGACTCACCCATGTGTATCACGATTGCCCGTTTGTAGTCCAGGGAAAGATCTTCCCTACGAGCCTCATTGAGCATCCACATCGTGAGTTTGACGTTATTCTAGGCATGGATTGGCTCACCGCCAACCAAGTCGTTGTTGACTGTGGAGTTCATACTGTTCGACTGAGAGCCGAAGACGGTAGTGACGTACTGATCCATGGTGAGCTTCTTCCGAAAGCTCCAGAATTCATTTCCTACATTGATGCTCGTCGACTCATTCGCAAGAAGTGTGAAGCATTCTTGTGCACAGTGCGTGACACTTGTCAGGAGGCGCCTAGTAGGGGGGACATCCCTACGGTATGTGACTTTCCTGATGTGTTTCCAGATGACTTACCTGGTCTACCACCCCCTAGGGAGGTAGATTTTTCCATTGATCTTGTACCAGGAACAGGACCGATCTCGATCACACCTTATCGCATGGCGCCTGCGGAGATGAAGGAGCTGAAGGCCCAACTGCAGGAGTTGCTGGATAAGGGCTTCATCCGACCTAGTGTGTCTCCTTGGGGAGCACCGGTTCTGTTCGTCCGCAAGAAGGACGGATCGATGCGGTTGTGCATTGATTACCGTCAGTTAAACAAAGTTACCATCAAGAATCGCTATTCGTTACCCCGCATTGACAATTTGTTTGACCAGCTGAGAGGAGCCACAGTCTTCTCTAAAATCGATCTCCGATCAGGGTACCATCAGATTCCCGTCAAGAAGGAGGACATTCCTAAGACGGCTTTCCGCACAACATACGGTCATTACGAGTTCACAGTCATGCCCTTTGGTTTGACTAATGCAACAGCAGTGTTCATGGATCTGATGAACAGTGTGTTTCGGAAGCATTTTGATCAGTTTGTTGTGGTCTTCATTGATGACATCTTGGTGTACTCCAAGACACAGGAGGAGCATGCCGAGCATCTGCGTATCGTTTTGAGCATTCTTCGGGAACAACAGCTTTATGCCAAGCTGTCCAAGTGCGAGTTCTGGTTGCACGAGGTTACCTTCCTCAGCCATGTCATCTCGGCTAAAGCTGGGAAGGTAGACCCGTGCCAGATAGCAGCGGTCACGGAGTGGAAGACTCCGCGGAATGCATGTGAGGTGAGGAGTTTTTTCGGACTGGCGGGTTACTATCGTCGGTTCGTGAAGGACTTCTCCAAAATAGCATCGCCACTACACAAGCTGATGAGGAAGGACGTCAAGTTCATTTGGACTGACGCTTGTCAGCAGAGTTTCGAGCGACTGAAGGAGTGTCTGACTCAGGCACCAGTTCTAGTTCAGCCCACTCCAGGAGTGGAGTATACGGTTTTCAGCGACGCGTCCCATAACGGCTTGGGGTGTGTTCTCATGCAGGAGGGCAAGGTCGTTGCTTATGCGTCTCGGCAGTTGAAGCCACATGAGTGTAATTACCCGACGCACGACCTTGAGCTAGCAGCTATTGTACTTGCTTCGAAGATCTGGAGGCATTACCTCTACGGTGAGACGATGTGTATCTTCACCGACCATAAGAGTCTTCAGTACCTGTTGACGCAGAAGGATCTGAATCTCTGACAGAGGAGGTGGTTAGAGTTCATTAAAGACTATGACTTTCACATCGCTTACCACCCAGGTAAGGGGAATGTGGTAGCCGATGCCCAAGGTCGTAAGACTCTAGCTGTGCTACACGTCCAACCTACATTACAGCAGCAGATAGCCTCAGTCCAGAGCAGTGATGATTTCTGTATCAAGACCGTTGAGCTCGTCTCTCAAGGAGAGAAGCCAGATTTTGTAGTTCGGGATGGTATCTTGTACTATCGGGAGCGTATGGTTGTGCCAGCGGGGGAGGTGAGAGAACGCCTGCTTCGCGAAGCACACAGCACTGTGTATACCATGCACCCGGGTAGTAACAAGATGTTCCAGGACCTTAGGAGACATTACTGGTGGCCCGTGATGAAGCGGGAGATCACAGAATTCACGTCGCGGTGTTTGACTTGTCAACAGGTCAAGGCCGAGCACCAGGTTCCTTTAGGATTGCTTCAGTAGATCATCATTCCCGAGTGGAAGTGGGATCGCATTACGATGGATTTCGTCGTGGGACTGCCATTGTCACCACGTAAGCACGACACAGTTTGGGTCATCGTTGATCGGTTGACCAAGTGAGCACATTTTCTCCCCATTCGTCGTGACTTCTCACTCCAGCGATTAGTGGAGTTATACATCCGCGAGATCATCAGGCTACATGGAGTACCGTCATCTATCATTTCGGATCGTGACCCTCGATTCACATCATAGTTTTGGAAGAGTCTACAGAGGGCATTGGGCTCCGATCTCCACTTTAGTACGGCGTTTCACCCTCAGACGGACAGTCAGTCGGAGAGGGTGATTCAGATTCTCGAGGATATGATGCGTGCGTGTGCAATCGACTTCGGGGATGGTTGGGAGCGGTACCTACCACTCATGGAGTTTGCATACAACAACAGTCACCAGGCTAGCATTGGTATGGCACTGTATGAGACTCTGTACGGTAGACCCTGTCGTACTCCTACCTGCTGGACAGAGCTCAGCGAGAGGAGGTTGGAAGGGCCAGATTTGATTCGTGAGACCGAGGAGAGGGTCCAGGTGATTAAGGACCGACTTAAGGCGGCTTCGGACCGACAGAAGTCCTACGCCGACCTTAAGAGGCGTGACATCGAGTATGCAGTCGGAGATAGGGTCTTCCTGAAGGTGTCACCTTGGAAGAACGTCCTACATTTTGGCAAGAAGGGGAAATTGAGTCCGAGGTTTATAGGCCCGTACCCTGTTATTGAACGGGTGGGACCTGTAGCTTACAGGCTCGAGTTACCATCACAGTTGAGCAAAATCTTCGATGTGTTCCACGTGTCCATGCTCCGGAGGTACCGATCGGACCCTTCTCATGTGATTCCAGCTGATACGGTCACACTTGATGAGAATCTTACGTATGAGGAGGAGCCGGTTGAGATTCTAGCTCGTGAGGTCCGTCAGTTAAGGAACAAAACCATTCCGCTAGTCAAGGTTCTGTGGAGAAGTCACACTGTCGAGGAGGCGACATGGGAAACCGAGGAATCCATGCGCACTCGTTATCCACATCTTTTCAGTGACCTGTGATTAGGTAAATTTCGAGGACGAAATTTTCTTAAGGGGTGGACAATTGTAATGCCCTGCAACCCGGTCTAATAGAATTGATTAATTTAATTAATTAATTACCGTTCCAGACCGGAGTTGGGAAAAATGAAAAGTTCTTAGAAAAATTATTTGATCATATCATTAAATTCATCTTGACGGTCTGATTCCAGAAACACAAACGGAACTCAATTCGGACACGTTCGGGGGGAAAAGCGTGTACTGTTCAGGTCAGATTTTTACATAACGGAGTGAAAATATATTTGTAACTCCCCGTGCATTTGGTTCGACCCTCTCAACCCCCCATCTTTCCCATTTAATTGTCTTTTTAATCACCATAAAACCCCATCACTCTCCACCCTTAAAACTCCTATTGTTGTAACCCCCATTTTGTGAATTCAATCATCAACTCCATCATCACCATTAATCTTCTCTCCCTCTCTCATTTTCGGCCAAGGCAAGCAGCAGCTTAGGAATCTCCGGTGAAGCTCCGGTGGGTGCAAGGTTGAAGGAGAAGAAGAGCTAGGCCGTCGTGCGAAGCGTGGTCGTCGTTTGTCCGTTCGTTAGCACCGTTCGTTCATCTCGTTCCGTCAACCCCTTCATTTAGAGGTGAGTAGTTGTCCCTCTAATTATAGAACATTTAGTTATAATCTATGTCGTTATATTCGTAGGAATATCGTACGCAACCTACGTAGAATCTATGCATGTTCGTAGGTTAACCATCCAACATACGTGTGTCCATGTTATCAAGTTAAGTGCTCGTTAATATAAATGTTTTGAAACCTTGTAAGTCTATCGATTATCTAGCATGGAAATATAAACATTCGTTTCTAAAACTTCCAACGTTTGGATAACAAACAAACAGGTATAATGGAAGTCAGCGTGTTTTGATAATCGAGCTACAGAATAGTACAATTTACTGTCAGGCCACGCTGGACTCCTTAGTTGAATCAGCACAGCGTGATAATCGATTATCACATATGCGATAATCGACTATCAGGCCCTATGGATTCCTGGGTCTGAGTTGGCTTCACTGATAATCGATTATCACACAGGCAATAATCGATTATCAGGTCTCTCTGAACTTAGGACTTTCCAGATAAACCAACTTGACAATCGATTGTCATAGGGGGACAATCGATTATCACAATCTGCAGGACTTTGGGGATAGAAGCTGCACAGCATGATAATCGATTATCAACAACAGACAATCGATTATCAGCGAGTTCTGAACCCAGGGCCATCATGTTGAACAAATCGTAATCAAACACATATGTATGAATTGAATTTAACTCTCTTCTTAAATCAATGCATTCATTCCATCATGTTCGTTCTAGACGAATGTTCTAGGTTTTCATCATGTGCATACCGCTGTAGGGAGGACTTCATGCGCCTACTACAGTGGGCCCGTCCAGGAACCTTTAGGGACCAACGGGTTTTCATCATGTTGGGCTTGTGTACGTACATAGTAGTCAGGTTACGGCTACTACCCGGTTTCGCTAGTCCACTCGCGATGTTTTCGTCGTGCCCGGCTCGTTCTTGTTCGGGGACGATGACCGGAGTGCAGGGGTGATCCTGTCGAGTGAGACTAAGTCAGGGGTGTCCCTGATAGTTTAAGTCATGCATCAAGTCATACCATCATCATTACGTTCCTTGTTATTCAAAACAGCTTTAACAGGTGAAAACTAAACAGTTAGTAACGTGTGGTGTCCCGTACGTTAAGTACAGGTATTGATATGGGTATAGCCATATGGGTTATCACTTCTTGTTCTTTTGTTAGATTCACTCCTCAGCTTTTGCTGAGCGTGTAGTTGTTTTTGCTACACGCAGGTAGACATGACGGAGCAGGTGCCAGCCCTGGAGAGCGGTGACGATGGGGAGATGGGCGGCGCACGGACGAACTCTTAATTACTTTCAATAACTTCGTTAATCAATTGGGCACGAACCCACCCTTGTCGTTATTTAATTTGGACTGAACTTATTTAATTACTTCCGCAATTACTCTACACTTTTATTACACACGTTTTGGGAGTAACTCCCTGGCTTTTTATTCCTCTAATTAAAATCCAACCGTTTTCTTATTAAATAATCATTAATGTTTTCGTAACGGATGGTTCTCGGACTGTCCATGTAACCCTACTCGTCCGTCGGGTCGCGGGTGAACCGGGTCCACGGATGGCGGGTGTTACAATGTTTGTAAAGATTTAAATTAAAAGACTGATCCGTATTAATTAATCGAAAGAATTAAGACGGACCTGGTGGAAGTGGCAAATGCTTGTTGACTGATTATAAAAGTTATATCCTTGGGTAGGGATTGACGAATCAAATGCAACGATACGAACGGATCTGAATTTAGAGCAAGTTAGCACGAAAAGTGTGTTTTAATTAGACACGTTATTTTAATTACTGAGCACAAGACAAAAACCCTAGGAAGATAAGTACTCAGTTTACGCAAATTATCAGAACCCATTCTTCTTCTTCCCATTGAAGCAGCTCCCTCTCACAATTGATCAATACCATATCAAGTTTTGCCCATTTGTTCCCTCTATTCCATGAGATTTGCAGTCCAGTAGATTTGGCATCAAGTAGATCATTATTCAATCTGAATTGGAGTAGGCCAGTCATGGCATAGGCATGAGCATGGCAGTTGACACTTTCACTAGAATTCAAAACAGAGTTGAAGTCACCCAAAATTTCCCAAGGAGTACTTATCCTTCCAGCAACATGAGACAATCTCTCCCATAAACCTCTCCTCACGGTCACATCATACATAGCAAAAATAAAATTAATGCGGAAACACTTCCGTGAAATGGCACACACAACACTATGGTTGATATATTGATCAGTAGTTTCCAACACATTACAGCAAACAAAAAGAGGGTTCCATAACACTGCCATTCTTCCATCATTTATCACATCAAAATTATTTGTTGAGGCCCAGGAAGGTAGCTTATTTTTGACAAAAAGATTGATCTTATGTTTGCTCATCTTGGTTTCCAAAATACAGCAGAGATGCACACCAAGATAAAAAAGCCATTCACACAAAAAAGTTTGTTTAGAGGCCCTGTTAAGGCCTCTAAGGTTCTAGCATAGTACCCTCATCAACAGTAAGGGCCAAGGCCCCTTCTTGTTTCTTTATTAGTAGCTCCTCTATATCCATAGTTGTAACACCCTCCGTTCTGCGAAACCGGTTCGCCGCGGCCCACGAGCCGGAGAGGTTACGTAGACGGTTTAAGGCAACAACAGTGGGTCAAGCCCAAAACGTGTTCATAATTTAATGGATAATTAAACGAGTCCCCCACTTTCGTTCATCCGCCGCCCTAATCACCCAATCGCCCGAGTCAGGCTCCATGATCCTCTCGCCTACGTGCGTATAGCAAAGGGAAACAACGCTATACGCTCAGCATAAGCTGAGTGGTAATCTAACAGTAGAACGCATAGCACATTCACATTGATATAAACATAATTGTACCTGTACTAAAGTACGAGATACCACATATGAGTTTGATAAACAAGATGAACAATGATAAACGTTACAAAATATGCAATGCCATATAATCCATTACGCATGAGTTAGACTGCGCAGGGACGCCCCTGCCCTTCGGTGATCATCACCACGCGGTAGATGAGCCGAGGAACGCCTTAGTCTCCGGAAGGAGCCTAGAATATGGGTGATAGTTATGCCTAGCTACCATGTACGTACACAAGCCCTCCTGATGAAACCCGTTGGATCCCGAAGGTTCGTAGACGGGCCCGCAAAAGAGGCGCACTGGGCCTGACCTCTTGTCGCGGTATGTGAAACTCATTGGATCCCAAGCTCCTGGACGGGCCCACGAAAGAGGCGCACTGGGCTTGACCTCTTGCCGTGGTATGCAAAGTATGCCATGACCTTAAAACATGTGTCTAGGATATACATGATGTCATGAATGCATTGCTTGATGAATGAAGTTCAACGCATACATACATGTTTGGTTTTGTATGAAAACGATCTGTTCAACATGTTGGCCCTGGGTTCAGAGCTGGCTGATAATCGATTATCTGTTGGTGATAATCGACTATCTAGCATGGCAGTTCCTTCCCCCAAGTTCTGCAGCCCCTGATAGTCGATTATCACAAGGTGATAATCGATTATCAGGCAGGCCGGATTCTGAAACAAAGTCCTAAAATGTCGGTTAATCGATTTACACCTCTGGGTAATCAATTATCAGGCGAAATCCATTCTGTGCTGAAGGTTCAGCGGGGGCTGATAAACGATTATTCCATTGTGTTAATCGATTGTCAACCTCTGCTGCAGAATCGGGAGTTTCAACATGGCGAGATAATCGATTATCATGTCCTGAGAATCGATTACTAGAGCTCGCAGATTCAAAGTTCTTGTATGTTCATTTGCTACCCGTTTGTTGGAAATTTGAAATAACGTTTTATGTTTACATGATAAGTAATATATAACATACGGGGTTTTCAAAAACGTTTATATTAGCGAATACATAATCGAAAGGTCCAAATAACAAAGAGTCATGATAACGTGGACACGCGTATATTTAGCCGGGTTATCCTATGAATATAACGATATGATTGAACTACGAATTCTAAAGTTAGAGGGCAACGTACTCACTTCTAAACGAAGGGGTTGATGAAACAGAAACGAGATGAACGAACGGATGACAACTACGAACGAACGAACGGTGGATGACGAACAACGTATGTCTTTTCGTGTGAACTTCTCCTCTTCTACCTCCCCGCCTACTCGTCGGAATCTCCTCGCCTGGCTGCTGCTATGGGTTGGTCGAACACAAGGGAAGGGAGAGTTGTGATGTTGAATGGGAGTTACAATTGTGGTGGAGAAAGTGAAGAGGAGAGGGAGACTTATATTGAAGGGAAATCAATAGGATAATAATGGGTATTAAAAGGGGTATTGATTTTGGGGGTTATGGGAGAGTAAAAGGGTGAGTGGCGCGTGGGAATAAATGGGGGATTACCTCCCATAATTCACTCCGTTGTGTAGAATTCGACCTGAACGGTACGCAGTTTTTCCCCTGAACAGTCTGAATTGAAAACCGATCGCATTTTCGGAAATAACCAGTCAAAACTAAATTTATGATATCTTCAAAATATTTTTCTCCACACTTTATTTTCAAAATTCCGGATTCAGCCCAATCATTAATTAATTTAATTACTTAAATAATGTCGAGAGACCCATTATTAAGATATAATTAAAATACATTAACTTTGGAAATCATTTTAAGGGTTCAAAATCTCAATATTTATTTATTTAAAGTAATGAGTCTCAATGAATAAATAATATTTACTTATTTAAAATCAGACCAGTTTGAGGGCATTACAATAGTTCTGTCCACGACCACTTCCCCTAGTCTCATTTATGTATGGTGGCTGTTTTGGTGCTTGGTTGGCTTCTTTCAATGTGTGTTGTGAGTTTATCCTTCCCCACAACAATGAACCCATCATCACCATCAACTTTAGAGAAGGAAGGAGATGGGTCATTGTTGTTCTTCTCCAATAGAGCTGCCTTCCCCCTGAGTCCAGTAGTGGCCTCCTTCTCCTTAACCTTTGTGGCCTCATTGTCATCCAAATTAGAGGTCTGTTTGGCCTCCTGTGCATCTTTTGTCTCTGCCATAAGTGTGGTCTTCATCAATTCCACTTTGGCCTTCTCCAAAACCCTTTGTTCCTCCAAGGTTTTCCTTCATTCAATATCATACAGGTCATTAGAGTCGAAAGGTGTGCGGCCAAAAGATTCACAGTGCTAGCAATAGAGAGGCAATCCCTCATATTTAACAAGTTGATTGTAAGATCCTCCAGGGAAATTCACCTTTACCGAAGTAAGGGGTGACTTCGAAAGGTCCATATACACAAGAACTCTACAAAAGTTTTGTTTTTTGTAGGTGATCTTATCATGAAGATCAGTTTCAAAAGTCGTCTTAGAGGCAACCATGTTGGTTAGGCCATCGGTAAAGAGAGGTTTGCGCAGTTCAGAAGCAATCTTAGACAAGCTAGTAGGGGACCAAAATTGCATTGGAACGTCCAAGAATTTAACCCACACATGCATGGTTGAGAATGGTTAAGCATTCCATATGAAACCATCGTGTGGGATGTTGAGAAGGAGTTTTTTGTTATTGATTCCCCTCTCTCCAGAATTCAGCACTTTGTCCTTGTCCTCCATAGTCATAAATTTGAAGATAACTCATCCCCTATGATGAGGGAGGATATGTCAGGGTACCTTCCAAGTGTCTGCAAGAAGCTGGATAAATTCAAGCCCCGGGAATCTACCAGTGAAGCATCCAACAAGGCACGGTCCCCATATCTCCTTAATGGGTTTCATATCTTCAGGTTGAATACACACATCTTCATCCTCCCCCATTTCCACTTGGAATAGCTTCATCCCTTTCTCCTCAACTCTGTTATTCTCAAACAATGAAGCATATGCCTTCTTTTTATTTGGTTTATCATTTTTATGGGTATTTGTAGTGTCCATGGGTTGCTTTTTGAAGTTTGTTGTAGGCACATTTGTAAGTTCCTCAACAGAAACCTGGGACACTTCCGTTACTCCGTTTGTAAAATTCACAGTTCCTACCCCCTAACCCACCCCTAAACACCCCATCCTACCCCCACCCCTACACCCCTACCCCAACACCGCTGTAACCCCTCATTTTGTGGGGGGCTTATAGCGGGGTTGGGATGGGTGTGCAGGGGGGTAGGGTAGGGGATGGGGGTGCAGGGGGGTTGGGTTTGTAACACCCTAATCCGTCCAGGTCTACAGCCCCTTTCGGACTAAAGTATTTAACTTGGCAATCGTAAAAATTTAAAACTTTTCAAACACTTTTATTTATCACAATAATATTTTTCATAACACATACAGTACGGAGTATTCAACAATATTGCGGAAGCGAATTTAATTTTGAGATATCATAAATCATTTCAAACTTGTCACATCCATCCCAACAATCTCACCCCATCTGCCGCCAGGATCACATTAATCTTTCTGTTTACCTGCGTGTAGCAAATGAAACACACTACACGCTCAGCGGTAAAGCTGGGTAACCATATCTAATGCGTCGAACATCCATATAAACTGAATCTAAATTCATAATCAAATCTTTTGATATCATGCACACAATGTTCGTTTCAGACATTCACAGTTTTGATATTATTCAGTTCATATCAACACATTTTATTCAATTCAGATACTATTACAATAGTGCTCTTAAATTATTCTTAATCTAAGGCCAGATCATAACAACACTCTTAGCTATTCTTAGTCTAAGGCCAGATCATAATAATGCTCTTAGCTATTCTTAGTCTAAGGCCAAATCATAATAATGCTCTTAGCTATTCTTAGTCTAAGGCCAAATCATAATAATGCTCTTAGCTATCCTTAGTCTAAGGCCAAATCATAATTTCCATAACCAGATTCTTTTAAGGCAATTATTGATCAGACACTTAAACTATCATAAGTTTAAGGCAATTGATTTCGGACACTTAACTGTAGTCAGTTAAGGCAATCAGACAGTTAAACTATCATTAGTTTATGGCAAATGATTTCGGACACTTAACTGTAGTCAGTTAAGGCAACAACAATATAGCGATTGATCAACATTGGATCGGGCATTTCCAAACGAGTAATCCTCTAGCTTGGTCTACGAATCCCGTTTATACATTTTTATCTAATTCATCGAATATTCATGTTTAACAAATCCATACTAATATGAGATCTATTCCAGAGGTCTTCTAGATAGCCTTAACATCAATTTTCTAAATGTGTATACCTTAGAGTTCTTCTAGATACCCTTAACACTACAAATCATTTCATAATTATAAATGTATTCATTATATTCATGATTCAATCATAAATACTTATTTTAATCAGTAGGTTCAATACTCATAATCATCCATAATATTCATTTATCATAATCATCAATTAACACAACAATTGATAACAAATAGCAGCCTAGCTTCGAGTGTTAACACCCGAACTTACCGTCATGCAACACATAACATTTTTAGTTGTTAAAAACATCATTTTTATTATGGTAAATCATTTTTATAATGGTCATAATCCATTGGTATCAAAAATAGGATTTTAGAGCTCAATAATAGCAATTTCAGACAAATTTTCGGATCAAAACTTCGGGGGATCGATCCAGCCCTCTGGATCGATCCAAACTATGAAAAATCACTCCCAGGGGATCGATCCAAGCCCCTGGATCGATCCAGACAGTGGTTTTTTAGCCACTGTTCATCTTCTGCTTCGTTCGGGTCCAATTTCGGAAATACCGTTTTTAGTTATCGAACTTCAACGAAACTATATAGAGATGTTCTCCAAGGTTCATAGATCATTTTAGCATCATTAATTCATAGTTTTAAGATCAATTTCATTGTTTATGATTCTTGGTTCTTCAAACATGTCAAACACAAAACTCAACCAAACGACCGTTTATGAACGTAGAAACGATCTATACGAACATTCTAGTCACTAGATATATCTACGGGCTTACCTCGAAGCTTATCGAAGGTTTTGAGAATTTTCCGGCGAAACTTCCTGCGACGATAACTCCCAACTCCGGCGACTTCGGTGGCAACCAACAATACCAGACTACTCTCCTCACTCTTATGAACACAATGGTACTAAAATTGTATGTTTTGGTGAACAATGAGAATGTTGATGATACTCTTATATAGGGAAGGGAAGGAGAAGGAGACGCAGTTGCTGAGTCATTGACGATTCACGCTAGGCTTAGTGCGCTGGGAGGCGCCGTTCGCACAGTGTCCTGATTGGGACCAATTTTGGTTCCAGTCGGGATACACTTTTTGGTCCAACTTTCTCCGAATTAAAATCCGTTTGCATCGTTGCGATCATGTAGTAAAACTCTATCCAACAATATAATTTTCATATTTATTTGTAATACTTTTTCCGACATCATATTTTTGGTGTTTGACTTTGACACAGTCAAAATTGGTTTATTTGACCTTTTATTCAAAAAGATTCTCACAATTAATTCACATCATTTGTTCTCGTGATTTATTTCAATAAATCATTACAAAGTTCGCATCATAATTAATTTCTTCATTTATTCTTGATTTGGGTCTGTACTCAGGTTCCCAATCAAGATTACACAATTAGTCAACATTTTGGATTTATCTCTATGAGACTTATCTTGATTGTAATATTGAAAATTTAAACATTTTTCATTTTTGCCTAAAGCCCAACAAACATTTATTCTTAATCAAAACAAATTTGATTAGTTGATTAATTGATTAATTATTTATTAATAATTCTAGGGTATATTTTGGGGCGTTACATTTCTCCCCCCCCCCCTTAAAAGAAATTTCGTCCTCGAAATTCTTCTTAGGTTCAACGTTCAACGTTTTGTAATGCTCTCACTGATCATGACCGTTTCATATTCATATGGTTATGTCGCTATCTTTCAGATACATATTCTCAAGTCATTGATTTCACCACACTCGTTCAATCTTCGAGAGATTAACAATTTTCGATTAAGTAAGGTCTTCTTTGATCCTTTGATGACAAAAGTTCCTTCATAGTGTGTAGTATTGCATACTTGACATACATAACTTCGTTCAGTTACGAGTCTTATCTGTACGTCCTTGGTTAACAGAATCGATTGAAAATTTCTTCAATACTCTAGAATGGTCTATGATAAGCACAATTGGAGGTTGTTTCAATTCATACGTCGTAACATAGTCTTTCAATTACTCAAGGGGTTGTTGTCTTAGGTCAATAGCCAATTTGACTTTTCGTCTCGAATTTGAACGTACTTCTGGATAGCGAATCTAACTGTTCGTGAGTCTCAATATGTCATATCATAAGCAGACTATAGCATTAACGAGCACATCCTCATCTGTAGGTAAATCAAATCCATCTTTGCTGTACAAATTTTGACGGAGGATAACTACCCTTTTTCAAAGGTCAGGTTTTCAGAGCTTATATATATCACGATTGTGGCCAGAGCATTTCACATTCTCATATTATGGAAGGAACATCTCGAACATTTCCTTACACCATAAAATTCGTTGGTCTACTTGGTAGTCATTCTCTTGGTAGAAATCCAAGGTTCATGGCTACGGCGGTGGATTTAGGAAGAGAATTGGTAAGGAGAAAAATAAGGCTTACATATGGAGGGGGCAACGTTGGCCTTCAAGGAGCTGTTTCTTCAACAATTTATACCAATGGTGGTATAGTTAGAGGCTTCATACCAGGGTACATAGCAGCACGACAGGTCTATGGTCCTACATATGGTGCAGAGTACACTGTTTCCAGCAATTACTACAAGTATTTCGAGATGAATCATGTGGTGGAGGCTTTCATCATACTTCCCGGAGGAATTGATACTATGGAAGGTTTGTTCACCTTAATTTCGTGGGCATCTGAAGGTTTGCACAATAAACCCATTGGTCTCTTGAACATTGATGGTTATTTTAATAACCTAATCAAATTTCTAGATGATGCGGTGAGGCAGAACTTCATGGCTTCAAGTCAAAGGAAACTTTTCATTTCTTCTTTCTTCGTTGATGAGCTTCTAGACAAACTAGAGTTTGCTAAAGCTTTTCCAGGTCCTGGGGCTAGTTACGACGAGTTTACAAATCCTGGGAGATTGGATTTAGAGTTACATTTGTAATATTACTTCATGTAATCCCAGTTCTATTTGTGTTGGAAAAATATTGTCCATGAACATTATGAGTTAACCACAAATATTATTTTAAGCTGCATGGCCAGTGCAAGTGAGAAAAATATCTATTTTCAACATCAGAATGCATCATGTAAATATCAAACATTTTCTCAAGATGGGTCAAATGAAAGATTTCATTATACAATGGTTTCAACACACATAGGTTCAAGAAAATACGAATATTCTTGAGATTCAAATTGAAAGATAATTTCTTGTTTACATAAGGTTTCTACATTATTCAATATATCCTCGAGCCCTTGTAGCACTTTAGGATCTTCACAGAGTATCATCCTTGAGTTGGATTCTTTGAATTGTTTCCTGTTTTAGAACGTTGACTTGTTCCTGAGCGAACAGGTTGATTTTGGGCAAAAGTAACTGAATATGATTTAGGGATAGACAGACATTCTCGTTGGAAATGTCCAGGTTTACCACAACTTAGACATAATCCTTGCGCACGCCAGCAATCTCCTGGATGGTGCCTTTTACAAACGTTACACTTTGGATGTTTCCATACTCTCATTTTATTCATGGATGATGTCGATTGAATTGTTATTGATTTTCCCGTTTTTGAGTGTAGGGCACTATCAATTTCTTGCAGGGGTCTCTTCCCACTTGTATTTGGTCGTTCATTTGGATTGACACTCTCAGTCTTCAGACTTTCATAGTAATCACTTAGATCTTTTTCGGCTTTGGAGATTAGATCGTATGCCTCAATGAAATCCATAGTTTGAATAGTAGATACGTGCGGCCTGAGGTCAGGTCGAAGTCTTTTGCGAAACTCCTCAATGCGGTCCACCGCTGTACTCACCAGTGTGGGTGCAAATTGAGCGAGATGGACAAATATTTGTCGGTATTCAGGGAGTGTCATATCTCCTTGCTTTAATTCGATAAATTCAGCACGTTTCTCTTCACAGAATCGAGCTGGTATATATTCCTTCTTGAACGCCCAATCGAAGAATTCCCAAGTCCAAGGTTTGGGTGTGTTTGGATTTTCGTCAGTGCGTTTCCACCATTCACAGGCTTCCTTACGGAGCAATTGAGATGCAAATTTTGGATGATCAACAATAGGTATGTTCAAATTTTGTAGTACACAAGTGGTCTGCTCGATCCATTCAAGAGCAATTTGGGGTTCGGCAATTCGATCTCCCAAAAACTCCTTAGCATCATTATCTTTTAAGGTTTTGAAAGTGATCAAACGAGGCAGTGGTGGAGGTGGTTGAAACACAGGGGCATTGGTCATTTGTTGCAAGAAGTTTACCATTAAAGTAGGTAGCATAGCGTCAGGTTGACTTCCAATATTTTGATCATTTTGGGGAACATGTAGTGAGTTCACTTGTTCACTTTGAATAGGAGGTGTGAAACTGGATACTTCAGTATGAACATTTTCGTGCCCATCGTTTGGCACTTGGTTACTTTGATCGTGAGCGATTTCATGACTCATTCTACAATAACAAAAATTCTTTCGTTAGGATTCTTGACGAGTTGACAACGGGTATTTTTTATATCAGAATACATCGATGTTTAAGTCACTAATCATGTCATAACAATGTGTCACTTCATTCAACAAGATTGAGCTATCCATAGCTTCTAGCAAGTAAGTTCCTTTGAATTTGACTGAACAAATCATCAATTCATAGTAAAGGGTAGCGATTCTTGATCGTCAATTTGTCTGTCCTAACAGAGATGTGATAGTATCTTTGACCGTAAGTCAATATTAGAGAGCACAATGGATTCTCTAAGTTGATCAAACAAGTCATAGATACGAGATAAGGATAACGTCAATTTCCCTGTAGGATATTTCAACAAAGTTTTGCAAGGAATTGTTGCTGAACGAACGATTTTGATTCGTATAATATAATTGCATATTTACGTCGTAATGAGTTAGACATCTGAATGGGATACTTTTAGACAACAGAGTTTATTGATTCTAGACGTTCGTGTTTAAATCAGCAATCCGATCATCTTCAGTCCACATGAGGATCTTTGACAGTAGCTTTGCGAATGTTATTCAACATTAGGCGTTTCTTCATAGTTGTCTCACTTCTATGCGACTTTGCGAGATAGATCAGCTTCGTCAATCGCGATATGATAAGTACGTTGATAACGTATTACAATTTCTTTTATTCTTTCGTCTCTTCACCGAGTACGAAAAATCTACTTGAGTCTATGCTCGATATAATTTCACTACTAACAATTGTTATCTAGTGAGAATTTTAACAAAGTCAATATTTATCTAATAAATTCCCATACCTTTCCTGGAGCAGAGGGATGCGAGAGTCGTGGATGTGACTGACACAATTTGTTTTAATTCAAATTTTGATCCGAAGATCGGTTTTAAAACCATTTTCTCCGATACCAAATTGTAACACCCTAATCCGTCAGGGCCTGCAGCCCCTTTCGGACTAAAGTATTTAACTTGGCAATCGTAAAAATTTAAAACTTTTCAAACACTTTTATTTATCACAATAATATTTTTCATAACACATACAGTACAGAGTATTCAACAATATTGCGGAAGCGAATTTAATTTTGACATATCATAAATCATTTAAAACTTGTCACATCCATCCCGACAATCTCGCCCCATCTGCCGCCAGGATCACATTATTCTTTTTGTTTACCTGCGTGTAGCAAATAAAACACACTACACGCTTAGCGGTAAAGCTGAGTAAGCATATCTAATGCGTCGAACATCCATATAAACTGAATCTAAATTCATAATCAAATATTTTGATATCATGCACACAATGTTCGTTTCAGACATTCACAGTTTTGATATTATTCAGTTCATATCAACACATTTTATTCAATTTAGATACTATTTCAATAGTGCTCTTAAATTATTCTTAATCTAGGGCCAGATCATAACAACGCTCTTAGCTATTCTTAGTCTAAGGCCAGATCATAATAATGCTCTTAGCTATTCTTAGTCTAAGGCCAAATCATAATAATGCTCTTAGCTATTCTTAGTCTTAGGCCAAATCATAATAATGCTCTTAGCTATCCTTAGTCTAAGGCCAAATCATAATTTCCATAACCAGATTCTTTTAAGGCGATTATTGATCAGACACTTAAACTATCATAAGTTTAAGGCAATTGATTTCGGACACTTAACTGTAGTCAGTTAAGGCAANCATTTTTATCTAATTCATCGAATATTCATGTTTCACAAATCCATACTAATATGAGATCTATTCTAGAGGTCTTCTAGATAGCCTTAACATCAATTTTCTAAATGTGTATACCTTAGAGTTCTTCTAGATACCCTTAACACTACAAATCATTTCATAATTATAAATGTATTCATTTTATTCATGATTCAATCATAAATACTTATTTTAATCAGTAGGTTCAATACTCATAATCATCCATAATATTCATTTATCATAATCATCAATTAACACAACAATTGATAACAAATAGCAGCCTAGCTTCGAGTGTTAACACCCGAACTTACCGTCATGGAACACATAACATTTTTAGTTGTTAAAAACATCATTTTTATTATGGTAAATCATTTTTATAATGGTCATAATCCATTGGTAAATCAACTCTATCCAACTATATGATTTTCATATTTATTTGTAATACTTTTTCCGACATCATATTTTTGGTGTTTGACTTTGACTGAGTCAAAATTGGTTTATTTGACCTTTTATTCAAAAAGATTCTCACAATTAATTCACATCATTTGTTCTCGTGATTTATTTCAATAAATCATTACAAAGTTCGCATCATAATTAATTTCTTCATTTATTCTTGATTTGGGTCTGTACTCAGGTTCCCAATCAAGATTACACAATTAGTCAACATTTTGGATTTATCTCTATGAGACTTATCCTGATTGTAATATTGAAAATTTAAACATTTTTCATTTTGGCCTAAAGCCCAACAAACATTTATTCTTAATCAAAACAAATTTGATTAATTGATTAATTATTTATTAATAATTCTAGGGTATATTTTGGGGCGTTACAGGGTTGGGATTGAGGATGTTTATAGCTATCTAACCTTCCAAATTCTGTATATTAGACTTCTTTTAATTACTCCATTCGTCCCTAATTTGATTAAAATTTTTCCTCTCATTCTTGTCTTAAAAAGAATTACTCCCTTCGTCCTAAAATATTCTCTCAAGTTATTTTTCACACGGTTAAATTTTAATCATTTTCTTTACCTTTTTTCATTAGGTATTTGATAAAATAATATAGTATTGCCACCACTTGTTTTGTAAAACTTTTGATTTAGTTTTTAAATCTATAAATTTTATTTTTTAATTTTACACCTACAATCAAACAAATTCAAATGAAAATAAAGTCGGTCGAACCTCGTAAACAGAAATGAGAAGAACATTATACGATGGAGGGAGTATAAACTTCCAACTTTAACACCATTTAGACCATTTTACCATCCCCTCCATCTCCCTATGTAATGATTTGATTCTTCCTTAATTGGGGGTAATTTGGAAAAAAATTTAGTAATTTGATATTTCCTTAATTTTCAAAAAATTAAGGAATGTTAATATTACCATCCCCTCCATCTCCCTATGTTAATGTTTAATCCTCCACTTGTAGATGGGTGTGTTATCATCGCTGGTCAAATTGTACGACACACTCCTTACGAGCATACAGAGACCAGCTAGATAGGTTGCTCGAGGGAGAGGTAAGTACTAAGCACATCACGATGCTATACATACATATTTTATTTTAAATGTCTATTGTATTACTTCTTTACGTATGCAGTTTGGCAACGACGAAAAATGGTGAAATTTTTCCCCTAGCTTTTTCCATTGTGCATGCTGAAGATGGTGCAAGTTGGAAATGGTCCATGACGAATGTGATGCGTCATGTCGTACCCCCACACCGCCATGTATGCATAATATCTGATAGACACAGTGGTATTGACCACACATTTGCAAATGTTCCAGAGTTGGGTGGAGGTCAAGTGACTCGAAGATATTATCTCCGCCACCTACGAAGCAATTTCTGGAAGAAGTTTCGAAGTAAGAAGCTGTGGAACTTGATGTACAAAGCTGTTGAGGCCCCGAACAGAAGTGAGTTTGACCAGTTGCTCCTCCGAATAGCGTCCAAAAATCAAGAAGCTTACAACTGGCTTAATGCCATTCCAAACACATGTGGGCGTTGTCACATAATGAAGGTGGCGCACGTTATGGTATAATGACTACGAATTCGTCAGAAAGTTTCAATAATGTCCTTAAGGGATGTCGTTGTTTGCCCGTATATGCCATTGTGAAGTTCACCTATGATAAGTTGGTCAAACTTTCCGCTGAGAGGCGAACAACTGGATATGTATGGCAGCAATCCGGGTACAATTTTCCTATGAATGTGTGGAAACATATTAGGAAAAAATGAAGAAATTAGGCTTTATTGTCGTGTTGTGCAGCACCACGCACAACAAGGGATATACTCTGTGGTGGTGGATGGGTCGTCCAACAATGCTCAGCGGGATACATTTACGGTGAACTTAAATGCACGAACATGTAGTTGTGGTCAATGGGTAACATTTCACATCCCGTGCAGTCATGTCCTTGCAGTATATCATTACTGTAGTGTCACCGTAGATCATTTGATTCCAAATGTTTTTTCTATTCAGTCCTACATCAACGCTTACTCTGGCATAATAATGCCGCTTCCAGATGAGTCTGAATGGCCTACCCCATATAAAATAAAGTTAAAAAATTTTAAAGGAAAAAAAAGTTTATAAAAGGGGAGTTAATTTGTTAAAAAAGTTTATAAAAGTGGAGTTAAAATAACTCAAAGTTTAAAAGAAAAAAAATTGGAACAAACAACAATGAGCTCCTTGCATTAAAAAAATTATTTTAAAAAAAATTAAGTAGTGAAACGGATTAGGCTAATCCGTTTGGTAATTAAATAAGAGAAAGGGATTAGCCCAATCCGTTTAAATAAATAATAATCTCCGAAACCGAGTAGCCAACTCCGGTTGCTTTTATGGGGAAAACATATTTTCAAAATGCATATCAAGGAGTGAGGTGCGAGTATATTACACTCGTATGGAATTCACCCTAGAAAATTTGGTACAGAGATCAGCGGATCCCATCGCGTAGATTTGAAGGAACAAACAGAGTATGGCGAGAGAAAATTAAAGAATATTTCCCTGACAAGCAAAATACGTGCATTACATGCATGTAGTGATGGGATTACATGCAGAAGCAGCTGTACGTGGCATTTAGATGAGGCTTATTTGTTTAATTATTGTTTGTTTGATATATACTCGGTATATATTATACTCCCTCCTCCCGTGAAACATTTCCCCTTTCTTTTTTTATCCGTCCCACAAAACACTTCTCGTTTCTATTAAAAAGTCACTTTTACTCCTTACTTTTTCATACCCTAACTATCACATCATACTTTTTTACTAATAATCTATCCATCAAATCATACTTTTACCCATCACATCAAAGGACATTTTTGGAAATTCAATACCAAAATACACTCCCTTAAATCTCTCCTAAAAATCAAATGTCCCATGTTTCACGGGACGGAGGGAGTATTTACCACCCACAAGTGGCATTATTTTTACACAAAATTCAATGCTTTAAGTTAAATTCAATCTTGAATTTCTAAATCTGTCACAAGAATAGAAAAATCGATCACACCCTATATAAATGTACATGCATCTACTTCCATTCGAATATCATCATCTATCTAAAAGCCAAACTCCAAAAAAAGGAGTAGAAAAGAAGAAGTAGAAGATGAAGTTAACATCATCATCATCAGTACTTGTTATTACTACTATGGCTTTAGCCATGTTGCTAATTACAACAACAGATGCCTTTCAATGTGGACAACAAGCAGGAGGGGCTCTATGTGCCAACAGATGGTGTTGTAGCCGTTGGGGGTATTGTGGCCTTAGCTGTGAGTACTGTGGGAATAGCTGTCAGAGCTACTGTCATCCTGACTGTCGTGGTGTTGCCATTAAGTTTGATAATGAAACTGATGTTGTTAACACCAAACCTATGGATGCCGGCGGCCTCAATTAATTGAGAACAACTACTCTCTCTCTCTCTCTCTCTCTATATATATATATATCGTTCTATATATGTTTATGCTAATAAGTGACATGCACGCACTACGCACTATGTAATAGTGTGCAGTGTGTGACGATGAATAAAATAAAATACAATTATAAAGTCGTGGTGGTTTGTGTGTGCAAAATAACTGCCGCAGTGCGTGAGTTTCACTATGTATTGTGCCGTTGAAAGTGTTTTACTCTTGAAATGAATAATATTAACGTTCTCGTTGAATATAGACGTGTGATGTTGTCTATCCTTTTGTTTTCACTTCATCTCTATAACAAAGTCATCAATTTCTATTTTAGTTTTGATTTTCCAAAAAAAAAATAAATTAAAATCACACTTTTCACAATTCCTTTTAAGAAAATTGAAGCAGTTGCACCCAATTGGAAATCGGAGCATTAGGAGGAGTAACCAACACCCATGTATTCTATCTCTCCAACACCTCAAATTCATCCTGGCACCAATACTTACTCTAAGGAGCTTGTTTATAGGTGGTTGGCTCAGTAAGAGGTGGTTCATCAAAGGGAATGGTGGAGGCATAAATCTTGGGCTTGAAGATGCCACTTTTGGCTCTACCTAAGAGTCATGGGGGCAATCGGGTCAATCGAATTGGTTTCGAGTTGGATTTTTTCGGTTCGGATATCTTCTCGGATATATGTTATAATCGGTTCGGTTCAGATCGGTTTAATTTTGATTCGGTTCTATACATTTTTCAGTTCGATTCGGTTTCGAGTCGGTTCAGATAGGTTTCAGTTATAAATCGGATCGGATAGATTTCGGTTCGGATACAATTTGAATCAGATATATTTCGGTTTCAGATCTAGTTTGGTTCGGATATATTTCGGTTTCGGATCAAATATATTGTGGATATATACTCCCTCCGTCCCTTTTTCCTTTTCCTGTTTTGACTTTCAACCAATTTAAGGGGCTAAATTTTTGTAATTGACTTGACAAATTTACCCCCCAACCCTAATCTAATAAAGAGAAGAAAATAGTGTAAAGTAAATTGCATTTAATGTAGAATGTACTTGCCCATCAAAAGTACAAAAGCAAATAGTGTAAACAACTCATTCCCTCCCAACACACACGAGGGTAATGATGGGGGTTAGGCAAAAGTACAACACAGCCACACAACACCAGCCACAAAATCCATTCAAATACACACCAAAACATGTTTTTAAAATATTTGGCTATTTTTGGAGAATTTTAAAATTTCCTTCAGGGACATCCCTCCAAAAATAGCACACTTTCTCTACTTAAATGAATGCAGTGACTGCATTCAATACATTCCTCCTCTGTTCTTTTTCCTTTCTTCTCCAATGAATTCTCCATTCGAGTCCCCGTTGTACTCTCCGTCTCCTTCGTGGACTTGTTCCGAGGATGATTCTTCTTCCTTTGACCATCTTCCCCAAGTTATTGAAGTCCCTTTACCCAATCTTTTCACCCCTGAAACAGACACAGAAACACAATCCGAAAGTAAAGGTGCTTTATTAAATCAAAGAAGCAAAAGAATTGCGGATCAGTTGCTACAACATTATCGGAATGGCAAACTTCAGCATGGTACCATAAAAAAATTGGCTGAAGAATTCAGCATTACAAGTAGAATTGTAAGCAGCATTTGGCAGGCAGTTCAAGCTCAAATCCAAGGAGGTCAACCCATTGTTGTAGAGTGTAAGTGGAAAGGAAACTGTGGCAGAAAAAAGATGGCAGTGGACTTTGAAAAAATGGCAGCTCTACCTTTCAACAGGCGCAAAAACATGTGTGCATTAAGCTATGGAATGGGGGTATCAAAATCCACAGTCCATAGATGGCTTCAGTTAAAGCAGATTAGGAGGCATTCAAATACCATAAAGGCATTACTGTGTGAACCAGGTAAGTTGAAAAGGCTTAAATTCTGTCTAGAGCATATTTCTCCCCTATCAATCCCCACGAACCCAACATTTCATGACTTTTATGACCATATCCATATTGATGAAAAATGGTTTGAAATCACAAAAAGAAGCACAACTTTCTATGCTCTCCCTGATGAGATAGACCCATACAGAAACATTCAAAGCAAAAGTCATATACCCAAAATAATGTTCCTAGCTGCTGTTGGTAGGCCAAGGTATGGGGAGCATGGGGAAGTTTTGTGGGATGGGAAAATAGGCATATTCCCATTCACATATGAAGCTGCATCTCAAAGGTCAAGTAAAAATAGGCCAGCAGGGACAATGGAGGTCAAGGCAATCCTAATAATAAATAGGGATGTTATGAAAGAGATGTTACTCAGTAAGTTACTACCAGCAATTAAGCAAAAGTGGCCAGGTTCTTCAAGGAATGTTATTATTCAGCAAGATAATGCAAAACCTCATGTTGATGTTAATGACTCTGATATTTTAACAGCAGGACATGAAGGAGACTGGAATATTGAATTGAAATTCCAGCCTCCAAACAGCCCAGACCTAAATGTACTTGACCTTGGATTCCTTAAATCTATTGACACATTGCAAGACCAAGCTGCTCCTAGGTCTTTGGCAGACTTAGTTCTTGCTGTTACTACAGCTTTTGAAGAGCTCTCACATGACACACTTAATAGAGTATTCTTAACCCTTCAAGGTGTGATGGGTGAAGTTCTTCAAAACAAAGGGGGGAACCAGTTCAAAATCCCTCACATGAACAAAACAAAGATGGCCAGAGAAGGAACACTTCCAAAGAATTTAGGGGTCAGCCCAGAAGTGTATACACTGCACAAGTGTACTTACAAGGGCATATGTGAGTACCTTTTGATATGGTACTTTTTTTGTTAGTGCAACATGGGAAAGGAAGAGTACAATGCCTCTATGTACTTCCTATTGACTCCTATTGCACAAGTTTTTTGGCAGGCTATTGACAAGTGGTGTATCTGACTCAATTGGAGTTCTACTTGCTTTTTTTGGGATTTTGGGTTTTTGTAATGCAAGTGTAGCCTGTATAGTTATCAATAATCTAGCATCTGTATTTATCAATTAGGTGTAATGTAGTGATAAGTCGGGTTTGATTTGGTTATTTTTATTCTTTTTTAGGTATTTTTAATATTTTTAGAGTTTAATTTTTAGTTTTTTAGCTTAGTTTTATTTTAATTTCTATTTTTACAATCTCTTAATTTTCTTTCAAAATTAGTAGTTTTTTAATCATTTTTTTTTCAATTTTATTTTTCCTAACCCAAAATTATCAGATATCTTATTTTTGGAGAAAAATATAGCAGAAGGCCAAAATTCAGTTCAAGTTTGGAAAAAAGAGATTAAATTTGGGCCGGAGCCCAAATCTATCATCAAAAGAAAACCAGCCCATACAACCTCCCTTCACTTTATCTTCACGCAAGAAAAGAAAAAAAAGAGAAGAGCCGACTTCTTCATCTTCATCGCGCAAGAGGGGAAGACCAAGTCAATTAACGCTCCAACGATCGGCCATCAATTCTGTCATTCAATTGCCAACGGGAAGAAAAACTTCGACTATAAATTGTGCCCAGAATCATCAGCTTAAAGAGGGGGGAAGCAG